CTTTGAAGTAGGAATAAGAGCCTCCGGAAAAGGGCGCTTTTTCCGGAGGATCGGGGCCAGTGTAGACGCTCTTTTCCGGCTTTTTTAAAAGCCGGAAAAAAGCGGCGGACATTTTTATTTAAATGCCGCGGGGGATATTTAAATCCCCCGCGCATTTCCCTACTACGAATCATGAAATTTACATGCCCCTTCTGGAAAAGGGGCCAGTGTAGACGAGCCCACATTGTTTGCTGCAGGCCTTTCAAATTTGGCTGGTAGAAAACCCCTCAGCTAGAGGAGAGACTTTTTTTTGTCTAATTTCTATTCAGATTCAGCTGAGTTATGAAGCGTGAGACATGACATTTCCCTCCTCTCACATTTAAGTCTCAGGCACATTTGGACAGCTTACCAAAATAGTAACTAAACACAGACATTCTTCAGAGCTGGGCTCTTGCTGGCACTAAAGCCCTACATAGGGAATGTTTGGGAGCTGCTGAAGTAGCTATAGCAGAACAGAGAAGTAGGCAGAACATCTAACACCAGTTCTGCCCTACTAAATTCCTCAATGCATGCTCCAGTCGCAGCACGTGTCCCTTGCAGCCCTCTCATAGCACAAAAAGGGATAAATACCTACATATCCCAAGAGGTGAGAGAGAAAGTTGGACTGGGCTCCCCATTACCATCCCTGGGACATCCCTGTGTCTGGGATAACTGTCTTCCCCTAAGTTAATCAGTCCTATTGTGTAAGTAGCAGCATTCTTTGCTGTTGAGATAAAAGTCCCAGGTTCACCTGGTGATGTTACTTGAAACCCTCAAAAGTGAAGAGATACCAGGTTCCTGGTTGCCTGGGAAACCTTATTTTGACCCCTTTGGGCATATGCATTATTATATAGCAATGATGGGTAAATTGCATCTTGTGGGCTGCATATGCAGGGTTTCCAGTTTCTGCTGGTTTCCATCCACAGAGGTTTTTTTCTTCTTCTATGGGTGTTATTAAAGTGACACACACATCTGATAATCAGCTGTTTGTCAGCAGGTCGGGGCAGTCTAGATGCGCCGCAGTTGACAAGGAAGCCTTTGTCGACCAGCGCAGATAAACCTGGTTTCACGAGGCATACCTGTGCTGGTCGACAAAGGCTTCCTTGTCAACCGCGGCGCATCTAGACTGCCCCAACCTGCCAACAAACAGCTGATCATCAGCTGGTCGGCAGAGCGCGGCAGCCATTTAAATTTAAATGAAGCCACGATTATTTAAATCGCGGCTTCATTTCCCTATGCCGGGTAGTCTAATCTACATGCCTCTGGCGACAGAGGCATGTAGTCTAGACACACCCATAAAGTAAGGGGAAATGAAGTGTGGTGCATGTTGATTGCACAACACAACTTTGACTGAGGCCTGTGCACTCCTCCTTCCATCCACTCAAAGCGCTGCTATTGTTAAATTAGCATAGCTGGCAAATTCTAGGTATGCAAGTGCAGTTAGCAAAAATTATCCCTGGAGGTCATCTTGATTTCAATTATCTTGCGGCCCACTGAGATGGAGGATCACTAATATGGCCCACTCACTAGCCTAGGTTGTCCATCACTATGATATAATCTTTAAAGACATCATCTCATACTTTTATTCTGCACAAAATCCAGCATCCTTCAGTAACTACTAGTTGCGCAAGGCACTAGAAGTAAGGATTCATGGGTGACCATAATGGTGAAATTTACTAACTTTCAAGTGTTTGACTTTGTATGCTCTTATAATATTGTTTTTAAAATGCAATGTATTATAAATCCTGAAAAAAAATCTGTTCAGATCAGATGTGACCAAGACTGAGTTACCACTCTTCCTTTCCTAGCAGCTGATATTCAGTAGGACCAGCCACTAAGATTGTCTTTGGCAACACAGAGATGTGATGAATACAAAATAGTCTTTGTAATATAAACTGCTTTGGTATGTCATTTAGAAATGGAGACAATATTGTTGTTTACTTCCCTATATGCTTTGTTTAAAATGTATCGGTAAACAAGTTAGAATGAAACATTTTCAGATTATTTAAAAGGCTATTTATTGCTTTATTCATTTCATTTTTGAAAAATCTCTTGTTTTAAAATATGCAGCTGTCCCAGACTCTGATTCTTCTTCCATGATCTAGAGTAGAGGATTCCTTCCTCTCCCTGGTTATTCAGGTGCTCAAATTATCAGGCTGGGTGCTGGGGAGAGGATATTACCCACAGAAAGTAAAGCCTGTCTTACCTGACATTTGATGCAATTAATCCAGTTTCCTCATCGGTGGCTGCACACATTCCAACGATGTAATTAGACATGGCTTCCTTTGATAAGTCTCTTGGTATATAAAAGATCCTAGTAGATGGTTGAAATGATGGTGGTTCTTTCACATTTATTACTTGTATTGTCAGGGGAGTTCCAATAACTTGATACTGAGAAGCAATCGAATGGTGGAATGCAGCTTTGTTTCTAACAGCAAAGCTCAGCTGTAAACTTTGCATCTGTTCATAATTCAGTGGCTAAAAATGTTAGAAACAAAGAAATAGGAACGTTGTCAAATCCAGAAATATCGGTTCACTCATTAATTTTAGTTAAATGAACACACATGCCTCTCTTCCCAATGCGCACGCTAATACTTTCATTAGCAAGGGATGTCCTTTGACTGGACAGCATGAACAAGGGAAGTCCAAAACGCATGTATGACAAGGGGCAGGGCTGCCACCACCTGCAAAGGTGGGTGCGGCCAGCTGATCTACTTGTGTGTGGCTGCTTTTGTCTAATGAAGTAAGCCCAGGATATTTGAAAGCCTCTTTCTCTTCTGTTGGGAAGATATTCTGAGAGTTAGGTCAGTCGGGGGGAGATTTAGGAAAGCAGCTGAAGCCATTAAAGTTAGAGCTGAGCAGGATCCCAGGACCAGATGCCTGTGCTGCTGAATTCACGCTACACCAGAACTGCGCTCACAGGAAAGCTTCAGAACCTAATGGAGTAGACACACTCCCAGTTGTGTCACGCCAAAGATGTTAACAGAAGCAGCCAAGCTGTTTTCCTTATCACTACTCAGCTTGCCCCAGCTCCAGGACGGTAGACCTCTTAAACCGTGAAGGAGGGAATTGGAGCATATGACTGGGGGTTCTGATCCAGCCATCTTAGCAAAGGCAGGGATTCATCTTCAAGCCTCTTTCTGAAGCTGATCTTTTTCTTTGGCCTCCTTGCTAATCTAGTGCCTGAGCCTCTGGCTGGTCTTTTCTGTGCCACATAAGAAACTGGTGTGACTGCTTAATGAAAGGGGAGGATTAGGTGACTATTTGCTTAGTCTCATAATCACATAGTACATGTGGCTTTGCTCAGATTATTATTCTATGTATCACTCTAAATTTAGTTTTCTAATTCCAAGAATAAATTAAAACATGTTCATGCTCCTATAGATAAATCATATCCTTTAAGACAAAGAAACTGTAACTATGAATACAGGGAGCCTAGAGAGGAAAATCCATATTTAAAATACTCCACTTAATAAAGTCATAGTAAGCTGAAAAGCCAAGAAATACAAAGTTAAAATAGACATCCCTCTTTTATTCTTTGTTGTTACTATAGCAGTTTGAGTCTAGGCAGGAAAGTGAACTTTAGCTTTTTTTACTGTGGATTGCTCTATGAATGGTATATAGTGGCTATGTAAACCACAAATATGGTAAGGAAAAAGAAACCTTCTGTACAGAGTGCTATGACAATGAGAACACAGACACTGGAACTATAAGGACTATTTTTCAGTGGCTCTTTCCTAGAAGCATAACATGCACATCCCTTGGCAAGCGTTGCTAGTTAATGTGATATGGTTGTGGGACCATAGCCCCCCTGATGCCTAAAGATAGATAATTGCTTCAAAGAACCTATCTCCACTCTTAACATAGGCTTCTACGGAACCTTCTACTGGGAGTGCATGATTTGGGATTCCTTTGTATTTAACACACATGCCAGAATCTGCCCCCTAATGATCTGAAAATGTCATAGTTAAATCTGTGAATTTTAATACTTTTACATCCTTACCTTAATAACCTTCAGAATGCCCACATTATTTGTTGAATCTGTTACAAATTCAAAGCAGTTATCTTCATTGCCAGATAAAGTAAAATTCTGCCAACCAATTGTCTGAAAACATTTGATCACGATCTATAGCTTGTATCATTAGCAGTTGTGAACTGAGTGTATTTTCCTCAATGCTGGCTGAATACTAGAATGACAGATGCATACTCAGTTAACAAGCACTGAAAATATATTTTGTAATGAAGAAATACTACTACAAAGAAGCATATGCTGGTTTTACATTTTTGAAAGATGGCATTTTCACAATCAATACTAATTATGAATATACTCATTTGGGTGTGGTTCTGATTGCTGAATCAAATGTGAGTATTGCCTCGCATGTCTGTGAAATCATCTTGGGTAAAGACAATGGTATCTTCCATGAGCAAGGATTGAATAATCTCTGGACTACGTAATTTGTCCCCCGTTTCTGCATGAACAAAGCTGATTTCATGAGATTCAAAGGAAAGCTGTGAATGTCATCACAATTGTGCCCAGAAACCATAGGCTAGTTTGTTGAACGCTTACCTATACTGGTGAGTATTTATTCATGGGAATAGTAGCTTTGAGAAGACTATTCATATGAACAAGTTCTCCCTAGAATGAGTAAGGGCTCCACTCTTTATCTCAGAGCTGTTATGGAAGAGAAATGTTAGTGATGTTACTTTTGATGGGAAAAAACTTACTGAATTCTGCAAAAGAGTTGGGAAATTATCATTGACATCAATAACTTCAATGGAACAGGTACACTGGGAAGAGATTCCATCTGCAGCTCCATCGCGGTCTGAAGCTCTCACAACAAGAGAGTATCTGTCATATTGCTAAATTGGAAAGAGCAGTGTACACATTATTTACAAACAAAAACATAAAAAAACCCCATACTGATCAGTAATTTCTTGCAGCTCCTTTCAAATATGTCAATTTGTTATACGTACAAATATTTCCTATAATATAGCAAAAACCCATACAACACCTCTTTATTATAAAATAAGGTCATTTCAATCTTCTGTTCAACCCTCTCTCATACTCTCTCTCTCTCTCTCCATCATGAACCTCTCTCTCTCTTTTTCCATCATGAATATTAACATATTGAAGTTTTTACCTCTCTGTCAAGATAATTTGCTATGTGAACTTCTCCAGAATCTCTATTTAGAATAAACATTGATGCACCTGCAGGTTCCTGACTCACTATCTTGTAGGCAATTTTGGAATTCAAGTTATTTGGTTCATCTGCATCCGTGGCAATTAATTTCATCACCAGAGTAGCTAGGAATTAAGACAATATCATTTAAATTGGCATAAAAGCCCCATTTTGTAAATTTAAGGTACTTAGCAACACAAGCAGTCTTAAAAACTCAGTTAATGAAAACACAATAATTATGTTCCTATAAGGAGCTATGTTTTATTTCATTTACTAAGAAAAGAAGAGAAAGTGCTTTGTTTAGTAAATTTGTGGTTGTACTTACATCAGGGGAATCGATAATTTGATGATTATTAACACCATTTACACTCCCTTGCAGTGGTTATTATGATGCGATAAGCAGAGGTTTGGAAACTTATACCATCAGTACATTTTTAAAAAGAAAAATCAGGATTGTAAACTATCTATAATTTTTGCCACATGGAGGGCACATCTACACAGCAGGGCTAAAACCGAAATAAGCTACGTAACTTGAGCTACGTCAATTGCATAGCTTAAAATGAAATAGCTTATTTCGGCTTTTGGCACTGTCTACACAGCAGGAAGTCTGAGTTAGAGCATCTCTTTTCCAATTTCCCTTATTCCTTGTAAAATGATGTGTACAGGAGTTGGCGTAAGAAGTCCATTAGGTTGAAATAATTGCTTTAGTGCAGATGCAGACTATGTTATTTTGGAATAACATTAGTTATTCTGAAATAATGCTGTTGTGTAGATATAGCCTAAGTGAAGTTATTTGAAGATGAACAGATATGTTAGTAACCCTAATATTTTGAAATGCCAGCAAATAATTTCTCAATAAATTACGTATTGTGCTGCTTGGTACAGATTATATACAGCACATATAATCACACTATATTTGTAAAATAGTAGTCTAATCTTACATATATGTTTTAGGGCTGCATAAACATACATTTAAGATTGAAAAACATTGTAAAAGCAAATATTCAAAATTTGTTTTAATAAAATCATGAAAATCAGACTTTTTCCTTCCTCCCCACAGGTGTTTTGGAGAACTTATTATTATTATTCAGCAGTTTATGTTCTATCAAAAATTTATTCACATGGCTTTTAACTGAACAGCTGGATTTTTAAATTTCCTTAGGATAAAAATTTGGCTTTACTTTCAATGGTTAAAGTAGATACACTTTGAAATTCTATGACCTGAGTTATTCAGGAAATCTGACTATGGTTCCGTTCATGCCTTAGTATTTATGAACACATCAAAAAAGCAGGAGGCATTCACTAATTTTGTGGCTATATGAACACAAGAACATATGAATGGCCGTACTGGGTCAGACCAAAGGTCCATCTAACCCAGTAGCCTATCTGCCGACACCGGGTGCTCCAGAGAGGGTGGACTGAAAACAATGATCAAGTGACTTGTCTCCTGCCATCCTTCTCCAGCCTCTGACAAACAGAGGCCAGGGACACCATTTCTATTCCCTGGCTAATAGCCTTTTATGGACCTAACCTCCATGAAATTATCTCGCTTCTCTTTAAACTCTGTTATAGTCCTAGCCTTCACAGCCTCCTCTGGCAAGGAGTTTCACAGGTTGACTATGCGCTGTGTGAAGATCTTTTGCTTATTAGTTTTAAACCTGTTACCCATTAACAGGTTTAATGAATTCCTATATTAATATATTCCTATGTATACTGATGGCATGTGGTTAAACAAACTGCATCGTTTTGTGCAGTAGGACACAGGAGGAGGAGAAGAATGAGGGCAATTGATTAAATACATTTTAAAGGAGTCCATGTCCCTAAGCAGACCTATAGCTAGCCCAGTGATAACAGACATGCTTACAATACGGAGATGTGAAGGGGAACATCCACTCACATCTCAACTATCCTCTCCATCTACTCAAGTTTTGGCAGGAGGGAAAAGGGAGGATGGCATAGCTATTAGGTGTCCCTTCTTCTCCTACTTGGTGCATGGCACAGATATGGAAAAATGTCCTCTTTACATAGGAGAGGAGGGAATGCCAGAAACAGTAAATTCACTTTCTTATTTATTGCCTTTCCAGGGTTAACTTCACGCAAATTGCCTTATTTTAGAATATGACACATGAAAATTGAGCTAAATGATGCTTCTCAAATGATTGGGATCAGAATAGACATGGACAACTCATGATCCACATTGTGATAGCTACTTATAGCTAAACCTGGGTCACGGAAATTAATTACTTTAAAAAAAAATAAATTCTCAAAAATTATTACCAAACAAGACACATGGAGTTACATGCAGGATTGGGGCCTAACAAAAAAAAAAGTCTTGAAATTCTTCTAATATAAAAATTGGACATTGACAAATATAGATCCAATTTAGTTTAAAAAGCAATAAGTGGTTTTTATTAAACAAGGACTGGTTTCAAGTCATGATATGCACAAGGCTTTAAACTTTCAAACATGTATTCACGTGAATAATCTGTATAATCCCACTCAGTTCAGTGATATATCAATATGTGTCAAAGTTATTCACGTGTATAAGATAATTTGGAATTCTTTTGGTAGTAAGCCTTGTGCTTAGTAGGAAGGGTTTGTCATATTAGGATATTACTTTGCAATTGACAGCTTCAGCCACTTTCTTGGTTATACAATCACATGTTTTCAGACCAAGACAAATGGGGAAAGAATATTTTATTTACCCTCAAAAACAAGTAATCAAACTTAAAAAGAAAAAGGAACCAATTTTCCTAAAAAATTCTAAATGTGAAAAGAATTTGAGAACATTATGAGAAACTGAAAAAAAAACAAAAACAAAAACCATTGCAATCCTCCTGGAATCTCCACTATTGCAAATGGCTAGTGACAATTATTATAATATGTACACCGAATATTTACTTACTCTCCATGCTACTTTCTTCAATAGATCCCATATATGTAGCTTGTGAAAATACTGGAGCATTGTCATTTATATCCAGAACTCTGATGCGAAGGTCAAGAGGTGGTTCTACTTCTCTATTAGTAATTGCATGTCTAGCATAGCATCTTATCTGGATAAAGAGGGTTACAAATATACATAATTTAAAAGAAGAAGAAATAAACTCAAACTTTGAACATAATTATTAATTGAAGCTTCACTTCTTTCTCTGTTGGCATTCATCAAAAGAAGGCAAAAAGTTAAAAAATAGGAGGCTAATTATTATGCTACTAAATGGATTTAATACTTACAACAAACATTGGGGTCACCTCTCGATCAACTATTGATGTTATATTAATTTCTCCAGTGTTTTTATTAATAACAAAGATCCCATAAGGTGGCTGATCAATCCCTATTCCTGAGATGCTGTATACAATTGGTTGGTTTTCTTCACAATCGGACCGAATCTACAGAAATAAACAAATGGAAATTATGATGTTCATCATAGTTTACTGAAAACACAAGTGATGGCTTTCCCCTCCCTCACAGAATTCTCAGTTATTCTCCTCCCGGGCCCCACAGACTGTATTATGTCAGAATTCATGGTGGGCTGGGAGTAGCCCCTTAGATAGCTTGTCAGTGCTGCTCTTTCAAAATACATCTATACTGCAATTAACAGGGCTCGCCGAGCTGTAGCGAGCCCCACTTACCAGCCGCGCGGTTCAACACACTGCGTATGCGCAGACTGTGCTGCGTGGCTGTGCCAGCTTGTAATCTACTTGCCATAAGCGAGTAGATTACATTAATTGTCAAGCCCTGGCAATTAAACACCCAATTGCCTTCCTGTGCACTAGTCAGGCACCATCCCAAACCTTGCTCTCAGGGATTCTCAAAGTGTGTGGAGAAAGAAAGTGCCATTATGTAACGATAGTGTACCTGACATCAGACAATCAGAATGTAAGCTGTATTTTCCAAAAAATGGAGCAGCATTCATGTTCCTCTTGTGGTCTAGGAGGCCTCTGTACTGCCCTCAAAACACTCAGTACCACAATCTAGCCCATAAATCTCTGATCTTATGTGGATATTGCAATTTCAGTATATCTAGCAGTACTAGAGCTTCTTCCCTCACCTTTTCTGCCTTTTTTGTTTTAGATAGTCTAGACAAAATGTATTGTTTAAAGATCTCCATCAATTAGCTCAGTTAGGCCTCAAGCTTTATTAGATGTTCTTTGCAGCATCTCTCTGTGATACCTCGAAGTGAGTCATATTTCCCCTTGGACGCCTATAACTGATGAACTTAAAAAACAACAAATGGTCTGGTAGCACTTTATAGACTAACAAAACATGTAGATGGTATCATGAGCTTTTGTGGGCACAACCCATTTCTTCAGATGACCAGAGTTTTGAGTTTAGGATGTGCAGACCCAAAATAAATAGGGGAGGCGGGGAGTACGCTATTGATTTTTCAATCAATAAACACCACTCCTGCACACTTACTTTGGCAATTGGATTCCTTTTTGAATTATCTTCTCCTTCCCTACAAGCTGCTGCGAATTCAATCCATTCCCGCTTTTGTCTTTTGAAGGTTTTCCATCGTGTCACATTATTTTCATTCCATTCTTTCACCTTGGACAGAAAGGGTTCCAGGGTCATTATGACAATCTGAATACAGTGGTAGGATTTTAACAGTGTAAAGTAGGGAAGACCGTATGGACATCTATATAGACTCATAGCTTGTTAATAAAGCTTATAGTCACAGAGCCTAAGATGGCATGGCACTATTCTTGTTTACGTGAATAGTCTGCTGACTTCAGTAGAATTACCCTAGTGATTAGGAATTTGCAGGAGCAGATCTCTTTCTTGTTTAGCAGGTCAATATTTAAGTATTTTTGTCAGGGTTTATGGTCCAAAAATCTCTTAGCTTACAAAGGCCTTTCATTTTTAATGGTGGTACATTTTCATTCTTCAAAAATATCTGCTCTTTAATAAATAGTTTTAGAAATATATTACCTCAACATGAAATCCAGCGCTGATATCCAAAAATACCTGCAAATATAGCAAAGCAGTCAGTGGAATGCAAAGGTTGGGTATCTTTCACTAACAAATCTAAGAAAAACGTACTGAGACATATTCAGCACTCAATCTGTGTGTTCCACACAAGGAATTTTGTCTGTGAAACGATATATCCTGAAAGTATGTGACTTTTACTCAGATTACTTTTGGGCTACGTCTACACTGGCCCCTTTTCCAGAAGGGGCATGTTAATTTCAGCGATCGTAATAGGGAAATCCGCGGGGGATTTAAATATCCCCCGCGGCATTTAAATAAAAATGTCCGCTGCTTTTTTCCAGCTTTTAGAAAAGCCGGAAAAGAGCGTCTACACTGGCCCCGATCCTCCGGAAAAAGCGCCCTTTTCCGGAGGATCTTATTCCTACTTTGAAGATCTTAGTGTAGACGTAGCCAAGAGGTTTGGGTTTAAAGCACAGTTTCCCAGTAGATGACTTAAGAGCATGTGTTAAGTGGTTGGATCACAACTAGTAATTTCAGAAAGTAAACATTCTAGTTAAGAATTGTGAGGTAGCTCAGAAGCTCTACAACCCAATGCTGCTCCCATTTCAGTCAATGGAAAATTTGGCATTTACTTCATTACAACTTCTTCATGAATTGGCACTTCATTGGGGCGAGTTGCTATAAACATCATTTTGGGCTTAGTTTTTTGTTGTTGAAAACAAACAAAGGAACACAGAGTGAAGAGGAACAAAGAAATGACATTGATTAGAAGAAAAGGGGGTAATAGTGCCATCATTTCTTTTCAGAGAACAATAGGAAAAAAAGCAAATACAGTTTATTCCATCCTTCAAGAGGAACTGAATTGCTTGATTTACCATGACTGGCTTAACAATTTTTTATTGAAGAAGTACTAATCATATTTAATTCAAACTAGAAATGTAAAAGCAATTGCCTCACACTACAAAACTATCAATATTAAAAACTTGAGTTTTACTATTATTTTCCGTTGGTTTTTCCTAGGTTGATGTGATCCTCAGATAACCAGAATTTTTAGATAACCAGAATGCCCTAATCCCTGAGCATGCTGGATAACACAGGTTTTACTATACTTATGTTGTTCTGGAAGGATATGACTATGCTGCAGAGAAGATCCAAGCTGCCACTGTTGATCTTTCCTAGGATTTGAATTAGACTAAGATCTAAATTTAAATATCCCGTGCTTCATCACATTTGCATAATCACGTTCTGGCGCTGTTTCAAAAAAGCGCCATTTCGAAACTGAAACCGCAGTTTAGACACGGTTTTGCCAACAGCTCGGTGTTTTTCGACATATCGTGTACTCCTCAAGTACAGGATTTGTCGAAAAAACTCCCCACTGTTGGCAAAACCAATTCTAAACTGCGGGGTTCAGTTTCAAAATGGCACTTTTTCAAAACAGCGCCGGAACGTGATTATGCAAATGAAGCCTGGGATATTTAAATCCCCGCTTCATTTGCACTTTCGACGTGCTTTATTTACATTCCTCTGCCAACAGAGGGGTGTAGTGTAGACCTAGTCTTGGTGGGTCTAGTGAAGTCATACTAATTCAAACTGAGAAGGGCTTTCCAGCTGATGCTGGTAGTCCTGCTTCCACAAAGAGTAAGGGAAGTTGAACAGGAGACTGTTCTCCCTGTGACTTCCTGCAGTGTGGACAGTGCCAAAAGCTGAGTTCAGCTATGCAATTGCACCTAAGGTGTCATAGAACTACTTGTTGTTGTTAAAGTTAGAGACAAGACTACTGCTCTGACTTTTTAACCTCTAAAACTGAGTACCGTGTTCTGCTTCAGCATTAGTGATGTTTTCAACTCCTGATATCATGCAACAAAATTCTAAGTTTTATTCTTGGCAAAAGGATAAAATATTTTTCAAACATTTTGTTTGAAAATTTAATTTATATATCATAATTGTTTCTTCATAATTTAGTATCCTAATATATTTTAAAATTTAAAAATTGAGACCTCTTCCTTAAATATGGATAAACAAAATTAGATTAAAATAATCTGATTCTGTCAGACTGCGTTTCTCAAAGACAGGACTACAAAAGAGGGTCCTGGATTTGCTTTAAAAGAGATGTATTGGTAAAAAGGTTGCAATTGTTCTTACTAGGTTCATGCCAAAGTCCAAGCATGGGCCAATATACTGGCTTTGTTTAAGTACATTAGGTTAGACTCTATGCCACTCTTCACATGGAAAGTTTTTACTCATATGGAGGTTCTGTTAATGTCAAAGTGATTATGCTCTGGCTGGTACACCCAGGGAAGGAAATAGAAAGATTCCCATGGAGTCTAGTGGCCTTTGGACAGACCCTAACTAAGTAAGGAAATATTCATGTGCATAACGATTGTAGGGTCAGACACAATGTGAATTTGCTTTAAAACAATAAAAAAAATCAGGAGGAAAGAGGCATTTTTATATAAAATTTGAAAGGAAACTTAGTTTAGTTAAGTATATCATTCAATATAGAAAAAAGGGCAATTGATACAGTAAAATTATCAGTTCACAGTGTCAGTTATAGATTTAGGCCCTGATCCTGCATCTCTTTCATGAGAAAAGACTCCTAATGTGAACTGATACAGGATTGGGGCCTTATTTCCATTCAGCATTGAAAAGGTCCAACAATGCGAGCGGCTCAAATGAGATTCTGGACTTTTTCTTTTCTCATCATCTTTGGCTCTCATAGACAGCCTTCTCTTCCCTGAATCCCTGCTACCAAGTCCATTTCTTAATAGGAATATGTAGTACTAAACAGCAACTAACCACAGTTTCATTTGCTGTGCATTTTAAACAAATAGATTTCATGCCAGGTGTTGTGGAAGATTAGAAGTTGTGGTTTTAACAGAAGTTACTGTGTAATATGTGCTAATTTTAATTCATGCATCCTTCCTATAAACATTTTCCTCCAAAGATTATTGAACGAGTGTGATGTCAGAAGCTGGTCATGAACTCTATCACTGGATGCCATTTGTAGTTATTTTTCTTTTTAAAAATCACTTCTCTCCAAAGGCAATGAGGTTCACAAATGGCAATTTTGTCCACTGGACTCTACTTCGCCACATTGTAAACCCTTTATGTGCATTGGTGACAAGTTCCAAAAATAGTAACATGCAGGTAATCCCACTCAAATGAATGGGACTGCCAGTGTGACCAGATACTGCTCAGTAAGCTTTATAGTCTGGTCCTACCTAATTAGTGCAAAATGAAGAGAAGTGATTATGGGGCAGATTTTGCCACCTGAATGTAGACTGAATAGAGCCTTGAGACTGTTCAAAGAGTATGTACTATTCACTGTAAGGTGGATGTGGGGCAGAATCGGGACCTAAATTGACAAGAAAAGTATTCCCCATGAAAGGATAACGACATAGGCAAATAGGCTCTTTAGAAAGATAGAGCTATGGACATGTTGGACAAGTAGCTTTAGTCTCACTTTTAATCTAAAAAAGTACATCTAGGTGATAATTTAAACTTTCAGCTATGGAATCAGATTTTAGTGCAGACACAATTATTACCCACTTAGTGAGAGAAGGGGAGGATACTCTGCCCACATTTGACTGTGCTCTGCTTGACAGTCACAAGCCTAATTCGATGTCACTGCAGAGCTGACCTACCGGCGGGACAGCATGAAACAAATTACACCACCTAAATGGCACGATAAAAAACCCTGCCAGACATTACACTGATTCAGTGTCTTTTAGCAGGGACTTCCTTTGGGAGAGCTTCTGTGTAGCTTCTTTGGGAATTAAAATGGCACTCAAAGAGACTGTGCTGGTGATCTTAGTGCTTCCTTACAATGAAATCCCGCCCCTCCTCCCCCCAGCTTGCAAGCAACCTTATTGGCCCGGAAAGGTGTATGAGAGTTAGTGGCCTTGGAATATATATATATAT